AACTACTCCTCCTCTCTCTCTCTCTCTCTCTAGCAAGGTCAACAAGCACAAGAGAGTCGTGACTGCTACGGGCCAAGGCGTAAAAAGGCATAAGTATGACCAGGACTTGGGCTTCCCATTCTCCAAGGACTCATCTTTGCTTCCTGTTACCCGAGATGGAGCATAGACTTTTCAAATTCTAATGAAATTACAAAAGAGTTTTTTTTGAAAGAAGAGAGAGTGTGTATGAGAGAGAGAGATGGGTTAAGTTAAATTGGAAGTCTCGTGGAGGAAGAGCAAGAGGGATAGAGATAGAGTTGCAAGCCTATAGGGAAACGAGAGAGCTTTCTTTGACCTCAACTTATCATTGTAGAAGAGAGAGAAAGAGAGAGAGAGTGTGTTTTGGGTTCAAATTTTAGAGTAGTGGAAGTATGAAACTGAAATGAAATGGGTGCGGTTTCTATATGGTTGTAACTTTAAACAATCCAATTAAAGTGCACATTTCAAATTTAATAATCCAATTAAGGTGCACCTCCAAATTTTATCATAATATGTAATTTTGGTGTTCAAAATTCTTAAGATTTTCTCAAAATCTATTTTCACATACAATTACAAAAGTTTAAACACTAAAAACAAATAAAATGAAGTAGATAGGTAAACATACGAAAATCTTGAAAATAGACCATCTAAATAATGTGTTGCAAGATGAACTATTTTTCAAACTCAAATTTGTTTTTTTTTTTTTTTACGATGTTGAGATGATTAATTAGATGATCACTTAACATTAAAACAACATTTTCTTTCGATGGATTTTTGAGATGCATTTGTAATTCTACATTTTAAGGTGCAAGCTTATATAAAGTTTATCCAACTGAAAATCCACAAAGGACATTCTGGGCTTAGAGATAGCTTTACCTGGGAAAGCTGAAGGTAAGGAAGAGGAGAGACAGAGAGGAGGGAGGAGTTGTCGATGGTGTGCAGAGATGAGAAGAGCGGACGGGACGTCTCCAGGGCCTCCTCACATCGTAAGACTCCCGAGTCCGACAGAGAGAGAAGGTTGAAACACCTCTGCTGTGATGAGAGAGAACGAAGAATTAAAGAGCGATGAGAGAGAGAAGTGATGGAATGTCTTGTTTGATGGGGCTGTTATGTAGAGTGGCGCATTAATTAGATTGAGATGGTGTAAGTACACTCTCCAGTTCAGATTTTCACAGAGCTGCCACTTCTCCTTCCTGCTTCTACAACCCCCTCTCTCTCTCTCTCTCTACTCTCTCTCTTCTGTTTCCACTGCCCATCTTTCTCTCTCTACGTATGAGTGCCCACGAATCCATCTCTCTCCTCGGCCTTCACGACGAGAACGGGTCGCCATTGATCCCATTTCGAGATGCGTAATTACAAAATACGAATACTGTGGTTTCGGCCACCCGATTTATAAGTAATCCACCCAAAATCATTTGTGTGATCAAGAAATGATATTGCATTTAAAATCAGATCCAGAAGGAGAGCAATGTTTTCAAACTCGGATCAATTTATCCTTCTTTCACATAATGATGTTGGATCGCTTGATCGCAATTTTGATCGGCCCAAATTAATGATCAAGAAAAATCTTAAAAAGAAATAAAATAAAATAAATTTTTTAAAAAGGGTGTGGTTCCTATAAGGGCGCAACCTTAAACAATCCAATTTCAGCGCAACATCAAATTTTATCATAGCATGTAATTTTGGTGTAATAAAATCTTAGGAATATCTGAAAACCTATTTCATATCTAATTATAAAATTTTAAACTCCAAAAATATTTAAAACAAGTAGATCTATAAACATATAAAAATCTTGAAAATTGATGGTCTAGATAATGTGTTGCAAGATGCATTCTTTTTAGAACTTTAAATCTTTTTTTTTTTCTTTTTCTTTTAATATTCATCAATTTCAATGTCGAGATGATCAATTAAAACAACTTTTTCCAATGGATTTTTTAGACGCATCTGTGATTCTACATTTTAAGGTAGAAACTTTATATAAATTCATGGGGTGGTAATTGTTAGTGGAGACATAAAAAATTATTAGATAAATTTTAAAAGATAAAAAACATTATTAGATAAAATTTTTCAGTCTTGTCAAATTCTCTTCGCTTCGGCCGAAGCAAAGCGAAGCCTGATGTTGGCATGCTAACAGTTCAGTTTGATTCAGTCCGCTTCGAGCCACTTCGGTCAGATTGGGGTTTGCTTCGGCCGATTTGGCCAACGTAAAGAACTATCTATATAAATTTTTTTTAAAAAAATTTTAAAATTTTTATGTTTAATATTTTCATTATTTTTATAATATATATATAAATTAAATTTATTTACATTAAATTAAAAAATTCAAAGTCTTTTTCTGAATCGATCGAAACACCGAATTGTTTCATTTTTATCACCAAATCGAAAAAAACTCTAAAGCGAGTCTCCAAAGCACATAAGTGCTTCATTTTCTCACCAAACGGAAAAAAACTTTGAAGCGAATCTGACAACCTTGTTATTTATATTGAATTAAAAAAAAAAATGGAATCTTCCAAAGCCACAACATTGGGTTTCATAAGGTACTAGGCCTGAACTATACCACCCCAAAACCAATTCAGTGCCGACCCAACCCATGCCCCATCGAGGTCGACAATCTAGATTGGAAATTATCATAAGACTATTACCAAAAACTCCACTGAAAGAACAAAAAATAAACTCATTTCAAAACCCTAAAACCTCTACTCCTACCAACACTCGGCGCATATTTTCGCGTTGCCACATTCGCATGGGCAAACCCCAACCACCATGGCCGAGCCCACTCCACCACCTCAAGCGCACCAACGCCACCACCAACCCAGCGGGCGCACGCCCACCACCAGCTCACCTAGCACGAGTCGCCGCAGAGCCACGGGGGCAAGGATGGACCCTCGGCTATGGAGCATGCTCCCTCAACGCCTGATCGACCGGTCCCTGGCCTTCCTCCCTCCACCTGCCCTCTGCCGCATGCGCTCGGTTTGCAAGTATTGGTACCACCTCCTCTCTTCCCGCAGCTTTCTTGAACTCTGCAACCTCCTCGCCCCGCAGTGGCGATGGTTCCTGTTTCTCTCGAAGCAAACCGAGTCCTTCGGCTTCTTATTCGATCCCGAAACTGATTCTTGGTTCAACCTCCCCATGCCCCAAATTCCACAGGGATTTAGTGTGGTCGCATCCGCCGGAGGGCTGCTTTGCTGGTCTGGAGATGCAGGTGGACACCGGGCGTTGCTCGTTGGAAACCCGCTCACACGCACCGTTGTGTCGATTCCGCCATTATTGCGACCTCGCTTCTTGCCTTCCGTCGGATTGGTTGCAAACACCGACACAACAAGCTATGAAATCGTGGTTGCCGGCGATGACCTTATCTCGCCATTCGCAGTGAAAAACCTCACGACTGAAGTGCTTTTCAGTGAAACGGGGGTCTGGCAGATGGGGGGTGCATTGCCAAGGCTGTGCAGCCTCGAGTCGGGGCGCATGGTCCACTGCAATGGCTTTATGTATTGCATGAACTACAGTCCATTCAGCGTGCTAGCATATGATCTCAGCTGTGGGATTTGGATCAAGATCCAAGCGCCGATGCGCCGGTTTCTTCGCTGGCCAAGCCTTGTCGAGTGCAATGGCCGGGTGCTGCTCGTTGCAGGCGTCGAGAAAAGCAAGTTGAGTGTTCCGAAGAGTGTGCGTGTGTGGGCACTGCAGGGGGGCCAAGCATGGGTCGAGCTCGAGAGAATGCCACAGGCACTGTATGAGCGCGTCGCCGCAGAGGGCTGCACTGGTTTCACCTGCGTGGGGCATGGAGATAGCGTTGTTTTTATTACTAAAAGTGACGAGGAATTATTGTTGTTCGATGCGAAGCAGAAGGTGTGGCGGTGGTTGCCAAGGTCCCCGTTCATGGGGGCTGAGCTCAGAGAGGGGCTGCAGGGTTTTGCGTATGATCCACGGATGGGGGCGTGGCCAGCGACTCGGGCAGTGGTGGCTCAGCTTCAGGGATCTTCTTCCTCTTCCTTTGGGTTTTAACTTAGTCATCAGCCTCAGGTTGGTTTGGTTAAAGCAGTGTTTGGAGTTGCACTGTTACTTTCACTGTGAATTAGGGTTTACCCTCTCTCTTTGCTTTTCTCAGCTATGGTGGAACTCTCTCTCTCTCGCTCTGTCTCTCTCTCTCTCTCTAGGGTATTTTGACCTAAATATTTGGGGTTGCTGCACTGTTCTGTTTGTTTTTGCATGGTTTAGAACTTCATTAGATGTGAACTGTTGCTTTTATATTTGTTCTCTGTTACTTTAATTTTCTACGTCGTGATGTGAAACTAGTTTCATATTTTGTGTGATGGCGTTTGTATATCTCTATCTATGTCTCACGCCGACGCATACGTTCACGATTTACATCAAATGCGGCTGATATGATGTCTTCAAATGAAAGTATATGCAATATCACCACCACTACTTTTTTAGCAGTAAATCTGTACTCTCCTAAGCCGTCCAATTTGAATAGCAATGGCTGCTTTTACCCAGATGAATAATAAGTAGTTTTCCCGGTTATGAAAAAAAATTAGGATTTTCAGTAAGGAAAAAGCTTATATAAGGATGCAACCTTAAAATGTAGAATTAAATGTGCACTTCAAAAATCCATTGGCAAAGGTTGTTTTAATGTTAAAAAGCCATCTAATTGATCATCTTGACATCGAGATGTACGAATATGAAAAAAAAAGAATTTGAGTCCCATAAATAGTTCATCTTGCAACACTTTATCTATCTAGACTGTCCATTTTCAAGATTTTCATATGTTTATAGATCTACTTGATTTTAACCATTTTTGGAGTTTAAAATTTTTATAATTAGATATGAAAATAGATTTTGAGATAATCTTAAGAATTTTTTACACCAAAATTACATGGTATGATAAAATTTGGATGTGCGACTTAATTGAATTGTTTAAGGTTGCAACCTTATAGAAACCACACCCTTTAAGTAATCACTCTATAATTTCGTGGAAGAAGCAAAATTTGATTGAGTGGAATAGAAGTCTTAGGCAACATCGACATCGATGGACTTCTATGTCCGGCTCCAAGACATTTCAAAAGAGTATCCAATAGTCATCATCAGTATCATCTGAGCCTTATCCTAGCTATTTGGGATCCAGTACACTAATATTAGAGAAGGTTTTTGGATTCAGCTATACTTTGTCTATTCATTTCAACTAAGCCATGGTGCATTGGAGGTGATTTCAACGTCACTAGATGGGCTCAAAGAAGAACATAACAACAATATTATTGCTTGCATTTCAAGGTTCTCAAAGTTCATCCATAGTCACATTCTTATAGACCTGCCCTTTTGGGTGCAGCATAAACCTAGTCCAACCATGATCTAATACATAGATACCTCATCTCCATGGTGTTTGAAGATATATTTCTTGTTGTCGAGTCCAGGAACTATCTAGATCTGTATCATACCATTCCCCATCCTATTTGACTTGAAACCAGTGCTCAATAGTACAAAAATCCTTCTGATTTGAGTTGTTTTGGCATTTGGAAGGTGAACTTAACAACTTCATACAGCTTTGGTAGACTTCTTTAGTGGGGTATGACCAAGCAGGCTTCAATCGTACCGAGAAACTGCAGCTGCTCACTGGTAAACTGAAGACAGAGAATTGCCACTATTTCAGTGATCTCTGAGAAAGAGGAACAATCTTCTTCAAGGAATAGAAAGTTTGGATGCAGCGGAGGGAACGAGGGACATAAAAAATATTGAGAGCATTAGGTGAATCGAAGCTGTTCAATAAAATAACAAAGCAGGAACTAGGAAAAATTGTATCAGTATCAATTGTCTCTGATGAAATGGCTCAGAAAGGGGGACAGAAACACGAACTACGTATAAAAAATTGCCAATTCCCTTAGGAGATCCGACTCTATCCTTTAAGTTATAGATTGAAATTCAGTTTGTGAAGACCCCACAAATACCAAGACAATGCACCAAATGGGTTGCCTGTTATGATCTTCTCCAGATTCTAGGGTGTTGTCGTTGCCCCATTTCGACTTGTTTTCATTGCGAAGTTTTACAAGAGAGGGATCATCAAAGGTATGAACTCCACGTAGTCCTCGGGATGGATGGTGTTAAAGAGCTGAAAAACTTCAGACTTGTTATGTTATTGAACATCTCAAAGAGAATCCTTCCCATGGTTTGAGCTTCTCAGTTGAGAAAGTTCCTAGTACCTGTGCCATCTCCCCCAAATCTACATGCCTTTGGGAATGGTTGTCAAATTCTTCGATGGACCATAATTGCGAACAAATTCTTCCATTATAAGCACCTCTATAAATTCCAGGCCTTGTTCTCAAATTATATAGGGAAGAAGAAGAAAAAAAGAACAAAAAAAATTTAATAATAAATATACAAGAACATTATTACCCGTTATTCCCAAATGACATTAGGATTTCTATTTGATAAATCAAAGACATGCTAGTGTTTGAAACCACTACAAGGCATGAGCTTCACAAGCTAAGAGAAAAGTCTTGCCTGTATAACCCTACTACCTCGATTACATCTTCATTTCTTTTCTTTTCTCTTCTTTTCATTTTTTTTTATTTTTTATTTTTTAATTTTGAATGTTCTCGATTCTCGATCTTCAGAATTCTGTAATAGGGGCATTATGATTGGATGTTTAAAGATGTTAATAAATAACCAATAATAGTATCTTGTGCTCTCCAAGACAAGGTTTGATGAAATCTCTAATGATCTTCTTTTGGATTGTGATATAAGCTGGGGTCGTGGTCATAGCACCCACATATCTCAGGTTTTTATTTCTACCGACACTATAAAAAAACTTCTAAGCATTTAGGAAATGGATAGGGGCTTATTTTCTGTGCTGAATTACCATAAATAAAAAACACATTCATCCAAAAAAAAGAAAAAAAGACGAGTACTTGAATTTTCCTAGATTCAAGATTTTATTAAAGGATTGGCATAGCTTAACTACAAGGAGCTAACTGACCGGCTAAGACGAAACCCTAATCTCCACCAAAGGGCTCACGTATAGTTAAATTATAATTCCTGTCTAATGAGGGGAATCCATAAAAGACTAAAACTTTAAAGATTCTCATAATAATAACTGGGGGAAATCAATATCAAAAACTAGTTATTGGTCAATGTTAAACCTCTAGAAATAAGTTAAAGCTCTATGTCCACTAATGGGGCCATACGTGGACAAAATATAAGGCCCGTCTCTTATGAAGAAAAACTTTAAAAAAGACTCCAACATTTAAAAGATCTCAAAAGAAAATATTTTTGAAAAATGGGTCTCCTACATACCCGCACAAGGTAAAACTGCTCATTTATTCTAGCCTCGTGATCTATTGAGAAACATGAAACTAACATCCCAAAGCTATTAAAAAGGTTATGAAACTAGTTTGGCACTCCATAGTTGTCCGAGTCTAAATACCCAATATTGTTTCAAAACCTAGATTGATGGGATTGATGGTACACGTCATATATCCATGTCGGAATGGTGAACCACCAATCTGAATTGGTATAAATCAGGGATCTAGAAAAATATTAAAGAATATCAAAAAAAAAGAAAAATAAAAGAAGGGCTTATTGTGTGGGAATCTAGATGGGACCTAATAAAATATTAAAAAAGTTTTAAAAAATTTAAAAACTATAAGATAAGCTTAGTGGGGGAACTAGGCTGGCTGGAACCGATACCTTCTAGAACTAGTTTGGTCCCGACTGATCTCAGTCTGGATCATCATTTTCAATCTGGATCACCAGGTTTGAAAACACTACTACTGATTGCCACAATTTTATTTTCAATTTCAGACTTCAATTCCAAGTTTCAAGTTAATTAAATGAAACAATTTTGATTTTTCAATTTCAATTTTAATTATGATTGCGGGTTCCATATTGAGTCGACTACTATTTGGGTTCCAATTTCAATTTTGAGGCTCCATTTCTAGTCAATCTGAATTTTTATATTAAGTACAGTGTGATATTTCTTGCTTTATGTTTTTTTCAAAAACTTGAATTTTCTTTTTAAAATGGTAAGGCCAGCATGAGTTATGTTTCCTAGTCTCTTTCACTTATTTTCCCTCATTTTCAAAGCTTTCTTGGAAAATGATTCTAAAAAACAAACGGTTTAGATCAGCTGCCAAGAAATGGTGACAAATCATTCTCCCTAATCAAAGTCATATCCATCTTGCATAGTATTTCACATGAGCTTGAAAAAGAAGGAATTCACCAAACAGAGTTTTCATTGCGAAGACCAGCCCAATGCCTTGATCCTTGGTCAAGCCTTATGGGAGCAATAACTTCCAATTAGTCCATCCCATGAAGCCTCCCATTCCATTTCAATTCAAATCAAATCTAATTCCATTCTCAATTTAATTCCCAGCCCTAAATTTGATAGGCCAAACAATTAAATGCATACACTTCCTAAGCTTATACCTAACGTACGCTAAATGAATGGGTACACTCGACATATGCTTAGCTTTCCATTTTAATTCATTGTGTATGGGTGCCCACATCTTTGACGCTTATACCACCTAATTTTGGTGGCATGAATGTTAAAGAGGGGCAACGGTAGACACCCCCCGTATTTTGATTATCTGGGTGTCTAGGTCTGCCACATTCTAACCCTAGATCTTAAACCAAGTAATGGCTTGTCTTTGGTCATCCCGAAACTATTTTGTCCTACAACTATAGGAAACTAACCTTTAAAATTCCAAATATTGTAACTCATCCATAATTCATCCAAATTAGGCTAATTTATTTTAATAACGTTTAGAATCTCGTAAGCTATTAAATGGCTCAGAATAATCAAATCTAACCTATGATTGGAAAGTTATTGATAAAATACTAAATAGTTTTAAATGGCATTTTCAATATCTTGAGTCAATAATCTAGAAAAATAGAGAGAATGAGGAAGATGACACATATAGAATTAGAACTGGGTAGCCGAAGTGAAGATGTGCAACAAGAATTTTCTGTGATCGACACATACAAATAAAGTTGAAGGTCGAGTTCTAAGGGGC